ACACGAAAAGTATTTTTATAATAATGTGCAATTATATAATAAAATATATATATTATTTTTAATCTATAATTAAAAATTTTTAATAATTTTATATTCTTTTCTGATGGCGACGCAAATTTCGCACAGGCGAAGGGCCGTCATTGCTATCGCCGGGAATACACAGCTTTCCCTTCAAATTGGGTTTACCATTGGGTCTACCTTCTACTTTCCTCGGAAAGCACGGATGGGTGCAATATTATTGTAAAGCGGCTCTTCGCGAGCCAGGTGGACTTACGCATAAAAATCAACAGGTCTTCATCGTTATGAATCCGATCGACTTAAATCTGGAGCCTCCGATATTAGCGGTGAGAGTTTACGTTATGATAATGAACGAATTAACATTTGCAGATTTAATTTATTTAAATATACGTCTCGAAATTCGATATCTTTACGTCATAATAATCCCCTCGATAGTTAAATATTTTTATTTCTTAATCGATGGAAAGCAACTTGGATGAAAAATCATTATAAACACCCAAGCTTTACGAAACCGATTAAGACCAAAGAAAGTGTTTCACGCACGCCATTAAATGAATACCCAATTTGCATTACCATAACCGAGTTCCAAATACTGGTCATCAACCCGTGAGGAAAGCGTTGCAAATAGCTTTAAGAGCGGTAAAGAATTTAAAGAGAGAAAATATATTCGATATAATATATTTAATTTATAAACATATTTAAAAATAATATTAAAAAATAATAAAATGCGGAACGTTCTATTTGCATATGATTTGTGTTGTTGCAACGTAATAATACTCGCATAGATTGTGATGAAATCACCACCCATATTTTCCGGCAGCAATACATTTGCATTTCTAGAAAATTACGCAAGAAAAATTTTTGCGTAGGCAGAGGCAACATTCATTGGCAGGCATTGTTTAGTCATAAATACAGGCGTATTGTTTAGCAGTATTAGTGCTTAGTGTTTAGAGATGCATTCTATTTTTTAAGATATTATTTCTGATGTCGAGTGAGCTTATTTAAAAAAATCTACATATAAATAAGTTATTTATGTAACGAACAGCAACCTGCGAGACAAGAGATCGAACAGCGTGTGGGTGTCTCTTGCGTATCGGGCGGTCCTGTATTCTGCAGAGTGAGTCTGGATCGGGGTGGATATGTACCTGGGGAAACAATCGGTATTTCTGCGACTGTCAGCAATCGCAGTAAGGTATAAACCGTAATTAACCTAGCTAACTAATGTAATTTTGATATTTTTAACAATTTTGAGATAACGAAAGAAAGCACGAAAAATCTCTTTGAAAACTCGAATTAACAGGTGACGATGAAGTCGACCAAGGCGTCGCTCACCGAAACGATACAATATTTATGTCGGGGTAAAGTGCTCGCTAGCGAGACCAGGGAGCTGGCGAGCGTTTCAAGGGGAAAAATTCGACCGGGCGAAGGCGAAGAATGGTTGAACGAACAAATGTACGTTCCTCCTTTGCCGCCGACGAATTTGCGGGGGTGTCACTTGATCAACGTTCTTTATCACGTTTATGTGAGTGTTGGAAAAGATATATAATAAAAAAATTTCATCGTCAGAAACGGAAGTATTTCCGCGAGGACGTTAAGATCCGCTTATAATCAATATTTCTCGCAGTTCGTCATAAGTCCCAAGAGTTTGGACAAAGAGATCAAGTTACAAATACCTATTGTACTGGCTACGTATCCGTTAAGGCCGGAGGGTGCACCAGCTGGTACGGCGCCATCCAAACGGGGCGCCCATTACCCATCGACGCTACCCATTTTCCGACCCTGGCTCGATGACAAAGCTTTCGAGATACAAGAATGAAAGCCGACGTATCTATTATAGATATATCGAGAGTTATTATATATGTATGTGTGTGTGTGTGTGTGTGTGTGTGTGTGGACAAAAAGTATCTTGGTTAAAGATACTAATTTTCTACGATCACAAAACTGCGCGCACATGCGCTTATAAATACTCCAACAAAAATCTTTATCGATTCTCTTATTACTAGTCACAGCAACGCTCGTGTAAAATTTTTAAGAATCGATGATGATTTTTGGAAATATTGAACTTGGTGCAAATATATATAATTGCTAAAAAATTTTAATGTACATTAAATTTTATGGATACTGACAGTACGCTAACTCTATTTTCATGGAGAGAAGCAGAGATGTATAAATTGTATAATATTGTAAAAAAATGATTGGCATTCAACACACAGAAATATGCAGAAAATAAGTAACATAAAATTTAAAAAAAGTCAGATTAAAGTGTATTTATAAGAAAAATTTATACATATATTAATTTGGGAAAAATATTTAATGATAAAAAAAACTTTTTATGCAGTAAAGAAAAACTTTTTAATTGCCCATTTCTCTTTTCAATTTCGCCAAAACCTGATCTGTTGTGATTCCCGATACTATAACTACTTTTTGCCGACTTCGAGATCCCTGCACAAAATAGAAAATAAAAGTTTATTTTCATGCAAATATTAATAAAATAATCTCGAAACCACTGGATTAAATACTTACACGGTCCAAAGATACATCGGATTTTCTTAATTCAAAAACCGAAGCTAAATATTTAACGAGTTCGGCATTTGCTTCGCCTTCCATTGGTGGAGCTGAGATTGCAATGCCTACTGCTTCGTCGGAAATATCTATGAATATTTATTTGCATCTTTTTAACAGTCATTATGATTCTGTTAAAGAAAATCTCTTTGTCTTTTTTTACAAAGAACAAATGAATAATCCTCTTTATAATAAAAATTCAACAAATATATAAAATTTGTTGAATAATATTTTTTATTACCGGTTACATTGTTACATTTTGCTCCGGGTTTAGCCTGAATTTTTATCGTTACATTTCCATCTTTATTTAAGATCACAGGTCCTGTAGATTGATTCTGCAAAACAATGTATTAACAAATGAAGGCAATATCTTGGCACACTTGGCGTGTAACGCGTGATCATCAATATAATCTTTCGTTACATCTACATTATTTTTAGAAAAACGAGAAATTGATTGGTCAAGGTGTAAGTTATATATTATCCCCTAGCGTTGTCTTGTCCAGCGTGCAAAGAGCCATAAGGCTTAAATTTAAGCAAGTTGATGGATGATCAAATGCCTACGCTTTTCGCTAAAAAATTATTTCTTTAAAAAAATATTTATAATAAACATTTTGATATTAGAATTTTTATCTCAAATTGTTCTCAATAATATGCCATCATAAAGTGAATCGATACGTCTAGAATAGAAAGCGGCGCTAAAAATACATGATAAAAAATGATTGATTACCGCGTCGCTTTTTATCGTCCAATCATATAAATATTGTAAGAAACGTTCCATCTACGCGCGGTACTTTGTCCAATTACATCTGTAACTTTCAAACTATATTGTAATGGTGAGCTCTAACTGTACGGTTGGTAGAAGTGAGTCTAGTCACTTTTATACTGATACTGAAGAGTGCCAGAGATGTTAAAAAGTGTCTAATAGAAAATGTCACATTATTTTCGCAATAGGTGATCGTATATCCTGCAAGCAAGGAATCGGTGAGCTTTATGTTAAAATAATCACTCACATCGGCGGTCGCCCCCTTCCGTATCTTCTCATTTTTCGCGGATCGTTGTTTCGACATTTCACGCGTGACAGTTAAATAAATTCTGCAGCCGCTTTTATTCAGTCGCGTAACCATGAATTTTCGATGTCACATTTATCGTCTGTGTTTATCTATTAAAATGGAATATACTACACACATATACGAGTTTTTGTACGCCGTTTATGACTTTGGAAGGTAAATTATTTCGGAGTCTCTTAACCTGAATCTTAACAGCTTTCACAGTGTGATTCCGCGCATGTGCTGCGATTATTACCAACTCAAATATAGTAATCTCTACATCCGCCCGCTATTTTCAAAAATACACGAAAATAATACATATCATACAAGAATCACGAATAACTATCGAGATTTGCGTATCACAGATCAATATGCCGAAGAAATTTGTGGGTGAGAATAGTAAGGCGGTTGCCGCCCGAGCTAGAAAAGCAGCAGCTAAAGAAGCCGAAAATATAAAAAAAGCGATGGAAGCTGAAGATAAGGCCTGGGAAGATAATAGTAAACAGATGTTGAAGAAAAAACAAAAACAAGTACGTTTTAGAATTATTATAAAGACACATTTATTTTATATTACTGAGAAAAAGAAATTTAAAAAAAAATAAAATATATATTATTATTATTATTATTATTATATATTATTATAATATTATTATATATATACAGGAAGAACTTGAGAAGAAACGTCAACAGCAAGTAGAAAAAAAGGCGGAAGCTAAAGCTTTGCTTGAAAAGGAAATGGCAAATATAAAAGTCGGTGGCAAACAACCAGCATCCAAAGTTACTAGAGCTGAAATTGTTACTATCACCGAGAAACGAAATCAAGTGGCTATGATGAAAAAAGAGGAGGAGAAACCAATAGAAGAAAATTTAAATAGATTAACTTTGGAAGCTGAAACAGCTCACGGTATAGATGAAGCTATATCTATTTTAAGGTAATTATTTTCAAGACATTAGAATACAATTGATGGAGTATCTATTCTATAATAAGATATTCTATTCGCAAAATCGATAATGCATATATGCAATAGCGTATATAACAGTCGTATTTGAGTCTTTCCTCATCTCGATCTTCATCATTTTATTTTCAGTACAAAAGATCCCGACATTGACCGACATCCGGAGAAACGGATGAAAGCAGCATATGCGACTTTCGAGGAAAAAATGATGCCGGTGATTAAAGAACAAAATCCTACTTTGAGATTGAGTCAGTTGAAACAGATACTTAGAAAAGAGTGGATAAAATCACCTGAGAATCCGCTTAATCAGAAATGATTGAATAAATGATAATGATATCAAACAATAATGATATCAAAAGACGCGCTCGGTACGTACTTGCGCACACCACTGACTGATTAATTATTTAATCTCTAAATGTTAAATTTGGTTATTAAATAACAATTACACTGCAGCAATATAATCAGCTGTATACAATTTTATTTGTAAAAACGAATAACTTATATTAAAAAATACTATCTATGAAATAACGATATATATAAACGATCTTTGGTCTATATGCTATTCCATAGCCTCTGTTCACAATATTTGCTAGATCACTTTGAATATAACTTTTTTTATCTGGCACGACAATGAAATAAGTTTCGAGTAAAAATTATTTAGTTTAAATATAAGATTCCGCGTATACATTTCATTTATGATATTCGTAGCAATAACAGTTCTCTCAGGTACATTAAAAATTCAGGTTTAAAATGAAATTAAATACATGTTGATTATTATAAAGACAAAATTTTCAAATAATTTCAAGTTATTTCAAGTGATCGGAACGAATGAGACATTTCGTATTATTTTATTAACACAAATTTTGGCACATTTGCGAGGCCACTCGAATTGTATCAATTTATCTTTCGATCGAATTGAATCTTCTTGAATCTCGTAATATTGCTGAATTCTTTCCACCTAAAATATACGCAAACTTTTTATATTATATTTAATTATTTGATAAAGTCTGTTAATCGACTCAGTCGACGCAATTTCAATATCATACAGATTTTTAGATGATTATTTCTAGATTGAAATTATCATATAATATCACTGCCATTTTTTGTTTTTCCACAAATCTATAAAACAATGTATCATATGATTCAACTGCTGAGGGCACTCGGTCATCGGGCTATGACCAGCCATTGGAATAGCTTCAAGGAAAGCTTTCATCATTGTCTGAAAAATTCAAAACAAAAAATGAATTTAATATCGTATTGTTCTGACAACAAAACAAATGATTGATACATAAAAAGTTTTATATAATTTAATATCTGTATTGTCTATGTATGTCAATCGCGCGGATAAGGATTAATCGTAATATAAACTCACCCTTTCCATTTGACATTCCTGCACTAGCGAAACTTTATTGTCCCTTAGTCCGTGCACCAGAAGCGTCGGTGTGCATATTTTCCTGTGAAAAGCATAGTCACCTTGAGGCCAGATCATGCCGTCCAATACGTATTTCATGTGGGAAGGCCACTGTTCCATCGATTCGTGACCGCAATAAGGATGCTGGCGGCCTCGTGCAGAATATAGAATATCTCGATGAAGACCGCACATTAAAAAAGGTGCGAGAATCGCCCTGAGACAACAGTGCCCCGCGCATTCCGTGCTCGGCGGGGCCAGAGAAGTCGGACCTCCGCCCGATATTAGCACGAGCTGGTGAATATTGCTGTCATATTTACAAGCTAATGCTGTAGCGAAGCTGCATCTGAAACACAATATACACAGATATTCATTTTATAACACAATTTATCTAAAAAAAAAAAAAAAAAAAAAAAAAAAAAAATGGAAATTTTTAAAATAGATTTTTCAAAACCAAAAAACAGCTCACACGGCTCTTAAACAAACAACAACTTACCCGTAATTATGTGCCACCAAAACGCATTTTTCCCCGGATTTGAAAGCGTAATGATGTAGAATAGCGTCTAAATCCTTGAGTAATTTGCCAAAATGATAATCTCTAGACCGTCCGGGCGCTGAACTCATACCGTGTCCGAGCATATCGGGAGCGATGCAAGGATAACCAAGGGAAGAGAAATACTGGAGCTGATGTTCAAAGATCTCTGCCGAGGAACCGAAGCCGTGTAGAAAGACTATGGTTGGTTTTCTGTTCCTTCGAAACGTTATCGAATCGCGAAGACTTCGACGAGTATTTTCTTGTGAAGAAATACTATCGAACTCCGTCCATTCTTTCTTATAATCCTTGAGCTCGATAGGAGCGGTTTCCATTAATTTTGTATCGAGTTTCGATCGAGTTTCGTAGTTCAGAGGCATGCCGTTACTTTGAAATTCCAAGCGTAGTTTCTCGAAATTAGTTTCTGCGTTAATGGCATCCTCCTGATGCTCCACTTTGTCGGGACCACTTGGTAATATTTCAAGGTTGGACGAAGTTTGTATAGTCTCCTGAGAATTGATCTCAGAAATCGTTTTTCGTAAATTCTTTTCAGGATTATCCTCCTCCGAGTTATTTGTTAGAGGACCTCTTCCTAATTTTTCATCGATGATTTGTAAAAGGGACTGCTCGAAACTGGGTTCTTGATCAAGTAATTGAAATTCGATCGTTTCCACGCTGTTTATTCCGGAATCCACGCAATCTAATTTTTCCGGAGCGATGCTCTCAGTATTTCCCGGTATTCCAAAATACAAGTCAGCTGTTCCGTGAAAAATAAATTTAATATAAAAAAATTTCTTACATTGTACGAGACGGGTCTTTAAAAAAATACAGTATTATAATAAATAATCTTATTATCGTAAATGTATTGCTTACCGCGTTTTCTTGCGGAATGATCGAAGTCTAAAGAAACTAGTTCGTCTGTCGAACCGACAAAAGCAGGATTCACATAACCCTCGCCTGCCGAAACTCTGGCGAATTGTTTCTTACATTCATTTTCTGCGCTCCATTGCTCTCGCGTCTTATCTATTGCAAGACGAGAATTAATATTGATAAAAGAATCATCTTTGTCTTTCGTTCGCGAAATTTCATCTTTGGGCTTATCAGACTGCGATTTCAAATTATTTTTTGTTTGTTGCCAAGGATGTTGAGCACCATTTTTTTCCATGCCAGTTACATGTTTAACGGTGTCATCGAGCACTTCTTCCAGAAGCGTATTGATATACCTGATGGTATAATTTATATTAATTTTTATAACGATTGAATTTATTTGATAGTATATATAAGAGAGAATGTGAATAGAGAGAAAGAAATGAGAGAATTTTATTTATATGATATTACATTACTGTGAAGATGTTTATATTTGAAGGTGATAAAATCTCTCGTACTTTCTCATTCTTATTTATTATTTCCTACTGGATCGATAAACTTACCTTTCTAAATCTTTAACGATTTGTTGCTTCGCATTTTGTTCGAACGATTGGCGATCCGTTAGTATCGAAGGCATCGCCGTCTCGTTCGCCTCATTTATGCGATCAGCGACCACGTTATCCCGCAATTTTTGTAGATTCACCGAAACTTTTAGCTCCAGTTCCTCGATGTCGCGCGCGTTCTTTTCACCCTCGCAAAGGCTCGTTCGGATGCGATTCAGTTCCGCGGATATGATTCGCTCCTCGGTCGTGCTCAACGCGCCGTTGGACTGGCGGAAAGAGCATCTGCAGTTACCGGACGGATGCGGCCTCCTGGTCCATCGGGTGAAAAAATTGTCGTTGACCGATTCCGGCCGGTCGATCGCCGTGCTCTCGTAATACCAGCCGCTCTTCAGGGACGGCTTGAGAACGCGCAGGGTACGTCGCGGTGCCACGATGAAGAAATCGCAATCGGGCAGCTCGATTCTTCCGGGACTAACTCGACTCCGATTCCACCAACACTCGAAAATCTTGCCGTACCAAGGAGACCCCGTTGGAGGCGAGGGAGTCTCCTCTACTTTCGTTGCCATTGTCTCTTCTTCGGGATAGCCGAATCATAAATACATCAGAATAGCCGATTCTTAAACATCGAATACGGAATATACGCCATAGCACTGGCATATATTTTCTAATTCGTTGTCTATAAAATGAAATATTAAAATATATAATATTAGTGATATATTTTATGCGTGTATATATAAATTTCGATTTTATTTATTTTAATAAGAGTTGAAAAACATATTTTTCTTGTAATTAATTGCTCACGAGTATACGTAATAATTGTATCTTTACTCAATATAATTTATGCGATTTTAAAAATATTTATATTCAACACTCCAATTAATATCAGTTTAGTAGTTATTATTAATAGATGTAGTTTCTGTTAGTTTTAAATGCCACTCGATACGATCGGTTTCTTTTCAATCGCCGGTGTTATAGTTATAAACTGACGGATGTTTATTGCGCAAACATCGACTTTCTCGACTTCTAACGCTTTTCATACGTTCTGTGTAGTCAAGCAATCAGATTTCCCCGCGAAAAACGAAAGTGTTGTTTTCTACGCTCGAATAATTCGAAACAGCTTTGGAAGAATATTTTTTTCCGGACGCGATACTCTTATCTAAAATTGACGCAAATTAGCGTTTATTTTTAAGAAAGAACGTAAGTTACATATTTTTACATCAACATAAATTTGAATAAAACATATAGGTAAAAATCTAGACTGGTGGGAATTCAACCGAATAATTGATTGTACGTTCTTTTACAGCGACGTAAGTATAGCTTATCTAACGGAACGATCTTTCATTTAATCGCACCAGGAAAAGCATAACATTAGAGCGTATAATAATGTGTATGTGTAATTCAATGATTTCACTTTTTTCCGTAGAAATATATGCTATACTGGATGCGTTCATCGACGATGTTATTCTTAAAGCTTTATAGACATAACAGTGAATAAAGCGTAACGAGAGTATCATCAGTTTAAAGCGTGTTAATCCAGCTAGATTGGGCGAATTATCTACGTAGGAGGGAGATGAATGAACGTATATAATATTATATAGATATATGCAGAATTTTTTACTGTCATATCTTCAGGATTTTCAATGCTTAATACACATTTAGTTAAATTTCTCGTTAAATTTTGATGTGACAGTTTTATTTAAAAGATACCGTGTCAATTTTTTTTCGAGACTGCCATCAGAAAAGATATACTTACGACAAGTCTTTCACGGATATTGTATATATATCGGCGCGATACGTATTAACGTCTCTTTAGATCCAACACTACACTAGGCTTACAGAGTACTTACAGAGCAAAAATACTAATTACCTTCCTCAAGCGAGCGATATACATAGGATACATAATAACACCAGGGGACATGGATGCACTGGTTTAACGAATGACACTTCTATTTCAGGACGCGCACTATGAATATTAACAGTAGCACAATATTGACGTTCGCAACGTTCGCCTCGATTGTTGTCGAAGTCTTCGCGAAGGTTTAGCAACCGCGTTCCAACGACGTAACGCGCCCGTATTCAATCGGTCGCGTGTCGACGGCCACTGTGTTTTCGTCGAGGAGCGTACGCGATGACGATACGTCAGGACGACGCGGGCGTCGTTCATCGGAGCACGCTGTCGAACGGACTCGCGCCGAATGGTACCACCGCGGCGGACCGTGCATTTTTTTTTTTTTTTTTCGTGGGCGTCTCTCAGCCGGCAAATTAAGACGGGAAGATTGAGGACGATTAATACTCGAGGCGTGCAGCACGTTGGCTCACGGCGGCCATTGTACGTCTCTCAGGCACACACGGATGGGCTTAGCAAGAGAGAAAGAAAGAGAGAGAGTGTGGGAGAGAGAGAGAGAGGAAGAGTGAGACCGGTGGTACCCCTACCATCGGGAAATCGCTTGTATACAGGGCGTTTAGAAAGTCCGCATCGGCTTTATCTACCTACTTTGGTTTGCTTGTAATCATTATATTATAAACGGAATTTCTCCGCAAAATATACATGTGTTCGTTGTATAAGTAACGCCATTTCTTTGCAAAAGTGAAAGTTAAAAACAAGACTGTACATCTGCGTCATTTAATAATATCATAAAAGATCCACAATATAATTAAAGATTCAAGTACTAAAAATCTCTCTCTCTCTCATTCGTATTTTGACGTCACCCTTTGATGTTATCCCTTTCGGGAACGATTATGTTTAAGTAGACTGGTAGCGGTACTCTCCCTTGAATGGAAATCGCCATGACCGGAAGAGACTTTATAAATCGCGAACGTACGTGGACACGAGCGTGAAAGATTTAATAATTGTCTGACCTATTAAAGCGACTCGTGATGATCGCCTCGGGAAGGGGAAGGGGAGATACCAGTAAATAACAGTACTAAATAGTAGGACAAAAAAAAAACGGATCGACTATCTCAAAAAAGATCTAATTAATAATGCAATTAACTGTAAGTAATAATAAAAATTGCTTTCTCTAGAGAATAAAGATAAATTAAAATTTTATAAAAGTGTGTTTATACCTGAGTAACTACGTTATCGATGAGTAGCGCAAATAAAGGAAATGATAGCGCATTTCCTGATCTATAACCCAGAAGATCGCGATAAGAACGAGTGTCACTGACCTAATGAAAATAATGATTTTATCGTTCAGTTTATAACAAGAGAGAAAAATCGATTGTCTCGAATTTAAAATATTAAATTCAAAGTTTCAAGTATCCCGACTGATGTTACATTTTCGAGATATTTATAGCTTTGTTCATAAAATGAACAATTTATTGCGAACAACGAGACTTGTTCATATCCAACTAGCCAATATAATTTCTTCCAGCGTGCATAAGAAAAAATTCGCGCGGTAGTATGCATACGCAGGATGCGATAATGACACTTTTTTGAATAAATGTGTTTGCGGAACAAACGAGAGATAGCACTCGAAGTATATTACAAGGAAGAAAGCTGCAAGTAGTAAACTTGAGACGTTTTAACAAATGAGCTGCTAAAAATAGAGAAGCGTTAAAAGATAATTTATCCTTAAGCATCAAGTCGATATCAAATATTATCCTCGTATTACATAATTTTCTTTGTATCGCTAAACGTTTATTCGATTGCGTGCATCTTCGATCATATCGTGAACATTAAATCTGGAGGGGTTGAGAGGCTGATTAAATATCATTATGAGAAGATGTGCTGGCATTTTGCATTCTCTGCCTTCGTTACGCCGCGAATACAGCCCGCTGCATACAAGTGCACGGTCGATTGCGGGTTTCGAAGAAGCTCCATGGCGGAGGACGCCGATAAGCAGTGCAAATTTGACGTTGCACTCCAACGTTGTCAGGAGATAGATAACAATTTACGCGTTAATATATTAGCTGTACATGCGACGACGTATCTTTACGAGAGTGCGTGCGACGCAAACACGCCTCCAACTAAGACTTTGACAGCGCAAACTCTTCGATGGTCATTAACCCTGCCGCCCCGGTAAGCGGCTTAAGGTATAAAGGGTTGCGTCGCTCATCCCGTCCGATTACTTTTGTTGAGAAATCTCGACACTATGGAAGTGACGCATTTACTCGTCGTGTATCTTCTTGCTGCTCTAACAAGCGTGCATGCATCGCACGGAAACGTCGAAACTGGGGTCATCGAACAAGAAGGCATCACCGAGGATCACCAGAAGGTGCATGACGAATGCCGGAATCCGGATTACAAGAAATACCTCAAGTGTTTAATGAGACCGAAGAGGCATCATCATAACGGCCACGGAGACGAGCTGTCGGAAAATGGTAGATTCAAACGTAGATTATAACAATCGAGATAAACACACAGGAATTCGCGTGTCTGCTTGGAAGCCTACGTTCAAACGTATTACGTAACTACATCTGTTATACACGATCATTTAGACAGATAGACGATTGAATTAAATTTAAATTACTGGATCTCTTATAACATAACACAGATGTAATTGCGCAATATGGTTGATTAACGCGACTGTTGTGCAACGGATGAATACAACAAGTATTTCGCGACGATCTTTATTCTTATATGATTAATTATTCTTCAATTATCTATGTAAATGATGTTATTTTATCCGCGTATGAAACATATCGTGGTTGTAAACGATGAGCGATAAAATTTCGCAGATCCTACTCATTGTTTGGAAGCGTGTTTAAAAAAATGCGATCATCATTCGGAACATGACGAGTGCGAGAAGAAATGCAGTTATTGCACGAAAAGAACCAAGCACAGGCATCAGATCATTACGGAATACGAGACGGAATGCGTATCGGGAAATTGCGGTCCGGCCAATGACGGGCTAAGAACTACCAATATAACAACGAATATCGACATCAATAATATTATTAATACTTTTAGCAATGCTACTAAAAACGGTGCACCTGATACGTCTATTATTCCTAGTACGTCTGTTAGGCCTGGTAGGCCTGATAGGCCTGGTAGGCCCGGTATGGCCGGAGGTAATCATGAAAATGGCGGTAATGGAGATAACGGCGAGAATGGAATAACGGATAAACCAGGAGACTGCTGTCGTGAGTCAAGATCTTTAATTAATATAGGATCTAATTCTTGTAAATGCGATTTAAGATGGTAGGATGCGTCTCGATAAATCGCCGGTAAAATCGTCGATTCAGGCTCGTCTTTAATTTACAGCACCTGTAGCACCTCGCTTCCCATCGATTCCTATAATACCTCAAATTTCGTTGGTACCACAAATCACGTACGGTGTAGGATTCGGAGCTGCAGGCGGATGCGCGCAAAATCAGTGGCTTTGCATCCAAACAGGCGGCATTAAGGAAGTACAGGTAGACGTATCGTATCGAATCTGAAACATTCTGTGTATATTAAAGCACAATATACAATCGTAATATTTTTTTAAATATGCAGCCTGACTGCTCCGGATGCGGCAATCCCATCTTACGCTACAGATGCGATGTAAGTTGTTACGCAACTTACGCCGGCGCGGCGACTAAAATTAAATCGCCTTGTAATAGTCCGGAATGCATTGGGGGTGAGACTCTATCATTATAATTAATCTGAATTTTAAACAATATCTTGCTTTTTTTTTTGTTTGCAACAGATACTTCTGATTTTTAAAAACTACTCTGTTATTATTTATACTATATCTTCAATATTTCTTCACATATATTTACACACACTATATATATTTCTCTTCTATTATATTATTTATCTATACAGCATTACGAATGCAGTAATACTACTCTGTCTCTTAGGTTCCATATAATTTTGCTGGATTGAAAGCAGTCGCAATGTGAATGAAACATCATTATTAATCGTTCGAGTTTTTTATATTTGTGTGTCAATATCTTGATAAAAAATTGCTTGTAATTAACCATAGAATGTAGCTCTAGATTTCCCAAGTAATCTCCTACTGTAACGATCAGGGTTTCCTAAGATTAGCTTACGAAATAAAGGCAACGTTACTTTTCTTTTGCAAAGACCTTGTCTTAATAACTGCGTCTAATACGGAAATTCATCATTGGTCAGTTTTCAAGAGATATAAAAGAGTGTATATCGATGAGCGACCACGTATGTACGGTTGCCGATCTCCTGGCGCATTGCGAGAAAGCTTTATCAGAATTTTCATCAAAATTATTAGGAGAAAAGATTAGATTATTTCCTATTCTTAATGAAAATATAAATACATGAAATTGGAAAATCTTTTATATTACATTTTGAAAAAATTTTGATTATATTATGAAAAAATACGTCCACAAATCTATATAATTTCGATGTATGACTATAAATAGCATTAGAACGTAACGTGTGTGAGCGAACGAATGGTCGAACTGAGACCACAAACGGGATTGCCTTATATCTTGCATTATACCGTTTATATGGCATAACGCATTGACAACCGTCTGGTCATCGGCGTCGACCGCGTCGCGTGGACAAGCGATGTGTTCTCGAATCCCCAAGCGAGCGCGAGAAGAGTTTGTTAGGTGTCAAGGTGGAAACAGGTGCTGGAGAGGCGCGATATTCAGGTGCACTGTGACGAAAGACTGTGACGTGACAACGTTTATCGGAATCGTTCTTTATTTGCGTCAAACAAAACCGAAATGTCAAAAAGATTCTTCCCCGAGACGATTAATACGATATGAGAACGAAAAAAAAAAAATCGAAATATAGCGTTTCGTATCTCTTTGTAAAAGATGATTTTCTCGTTAGAATATTTTGAGCAAAGCATATGATATGTAATTAACAAGTAATACGATTAATTAAATTAACCATAATTAAATTAAATAAAGTTTAATTTAATTTTTTACCGTCCTTTTTACGATGAGCTAAAGTAATTCTTGTTTACGATAGTTACTTCATCATTTTATGCATTTGTACATTTATCTCTGTACTTTGAGAAGAGATTTCAGCGTGAATCTTTGAACTGTCGAAGCAAAAAATGCAATCATGAACCTATTACGTTTCGCAATGCACCGATGAGATTAGATAGCGAAAGTGTTTGTAGCATCTTAAGCTGGCGCAGCGTGGGAATAGCAACTTGTTTCTCCTACTCCCATCTTTCTCTCAATTATGAGGTGTGGATGGATCCCTTTCTAAGAGAGTTAAGTGCGTCGTTTGCGCGATTCTTGCCGTATTCCACGGATAACAGCGAGAGTAAAAATTAAACCGATACATTCGAGAAAAAGGATAAAAATATTAATTAATGCTGTTTTAGCGTGCATTAAATGTAGTTAGTTTCTTTACATCCGATGCGTAAAAGCATCGGATGTTTTAATATACGAGAAGCTGTAATAGAAAGATAAATATAAAAATAGAAGCATTTTTTGTTGTTATAGAGCCAATCTTCTAAGAACGAAAGATAAAATATAGCATACATATTTTGTAGAGAAAAAGAGAGGGAGAAAGGGAAGATACGGATGCAAAAATGATTAAAAATATCTCACATTTACGGTCTTATACAATTTATTATAATATTGTACATCTCGAAGGGCGCATTTACGGATCGACCTTAGAAACGTCATATCGAAGATACCCGGAAGTAATATCTTACGAAAGGATATTTCGCACGAGGCTCGTGTAAGCGCAATATTTTACCGCCACAACACGTCGATAGTTATGTACCTGAGAAACTGTACTAGGCGGACTTGCCCGCAAGCGACGCCTTCCATCGTTATTGCATTGTTAGAAGAGACAACTAGCCGGTACACATACACACGACGCCTGTAGACATGCTATGCTAGTTTCTCGAACGATAAGAATGCAACGTTTCACGGACCGGACAGCGTGGGCCGTCCTGCCTCCGAACAATCAAATTTACTGCGAATGCAGAGGATTGTTCCTGCCATTTCTGCCCACTCTTGCCCGACTATTCGCCAATCAATTCGATTCCGTTTTAATTCTTTAAAAATATTTTTGCAATTTTGAAAACTTTAGAGAAATATTTCTAATTTTCTTGCGCCTGAAAAAAGAATTAATAATTTCGATCGCATAGAGAAAATATTTTTACAGCTTTGAGAAAACTTCAAATTTTAAGAGACGTTTCTAATTTTATTGTGCCTGAAAATAAATAGATTATTAATTTCGATCGAAAGAAAATATAGATTGCGAAAACTAATTTCAGAAAATAAAAGTTTTACGGACGATATTGTGCCACCGAGGAGGGTAAACTCGATTCTTTTCTTCCTTCGATCTACACCTGGCGTAACTTCTCAAGCGCATGACGAAGACCACCCACGGATACGTGCATCCGAACCCAGGTGGAATCATTAGAGCGAGAGATCGGCGCGTAGACATCCGCGTGCGTATACCAGACTGTTAACATCCGTCGGTTGGTGTATCAAAATGTCATGCCGTCAAGAGTTTCGCTCTATACAATCTATAGTTTTTTTTCTTTATAACTCTTCGTCCATTCTCCCCGTGTATACTTTGCGTAAAAGAGTTGGCAGGCGCTGCACGATACTGCACTAACAATACGCTACTGCTTTTCTCCCCCGTCAAGAACATTAATTTTTCACGGTGCGTGAATCTATTTTCCTGTAAGACTACGAGGGTGCTCGAAGGCATCCCTCGAAGGCACGTGACTCGTGGCATCAAATGAAGCTGCCAATTAACTCGAGCACGTGTCATACGTACATCAACTTCCTGTGCTTAAAAAAAAAAGTCTAATATTGTTTCAGGGCATTAGACGAAATATTTGATCAATGAAATATACGAGATGGAAAATAAGATAGGGACAAAAATGAAGATTTCATATTATTTTCGCGTTCTCGATCTACTTCTACGATACACACACTCTACACAAAAACATTTACATTTATATAGCTATTTTAAATAAAGCAAAACTTATCTAGCGAACATCAGACGGTTAATCGATTATTTACATTGGGACCATCGAGATCGTCGTCGGTTGAATAATTCGAGAAGTCACTGATCCGTAAAATGACTAGCATCGTGGGTATCGTCGAGAGCGAATGGAAGTTCGTTGGGGACGGTCCACAGCCAAGGGTTAACAAAAGTCCGTTACAATTATATTCCTCGAAGTAATCATTTGGTTGAGCACTCGGGAAATATTGATGAAACGACCGATAATTGATTTAAGCGGTAGCATGTATCGTTTCATTCGCAATTTTGAAACGCCGTCTCTTTCAAGCGATTAAAATAAATACGAATAAAGTGTACGAGTCTAAATATTACGTGAAAATTCCGATCAACTTTAACACGTTCACTGTATATAGATATATTCGATTCATGAATATTTATATATATATACATTTAAGTATATTACTACCACGAGTCATATGTATAAATATTTAAAGAATTTACAAATTTAAAAGTTTTATAAATTAATAATTAATTTAAAAGTTTTATAAATATATTATAAAAATATATATTACATTTTTTTTTAAATTTTACAAAATAAATTTTTTTAGATGAATTTAAAAATCATAATGGAATGTATAAGAAATGGATAAATAGCGTTAAATTAAATATAAATTTAATATAAATAGTAGCGTACATACTTTTTCACATTTGTACTAATAAGATGCAACGTGACCATTAAGAGATACTTTCTCATTTAAGAAATACTCATTCAAGTTAATTATGTAGAGCTCTTACGAATTCTTATTATCGTTTCACGAACGATCAACGTCGTTGTTCGTTTTAATTATTTTCTTAATTGCACAGCGCAACGACGACGGTGCATTTAATTAGCTTTGTGATTGAGTCGATGAAAACAACAAACACGCGTAACAGCGGGACGTAATGATTGCGGCTGGATATTACAGCAAGGAGGAACGGCTGCTTTTATAGAGATACTGGTTTTACACTGCCTATCATTCGCCGATTGCTAAATAAGTCGACGTCGGCGTGGATTTTTTTTTTTTTTTTTTTTTTTTTTTTTTAAGAGAAAAATGCATTATGCATTCCCACCGGCCGGTCCGGTGGGATATGCGGGACTCGCACCCGCTAAAAAACTCTCCCTGCAGGGCCAACCTTTGACCCCGCCGATACTTACACAAATTAAGATTCTGAGATTTAAGAAACATGATAGGCAAGAAAGATAATACAAGTAAAAATTTCAAAAGTTAGAATTTGGAAAACTCCATCTTTATTTTCTTTTCTCATTTACAGTATAATGAAAATTACTATCTAAAAATTACTTGTTCTTACAACTAATTTCTCAATTTTCTTTTTGCAATCGATTTGAATTTATTCAAGAAGGTTGCCCACGACCTGTCTGGAGAGTCTGGACTATTGTTAATTGCGCTCGGGAGTATCGGTCGTAGGATCCGATTATACGCATACGCTTTTCCGGTGAGGAAACTCAATGCGCGTTTACTGGGAAGAAAACGAAAACGAAGACTCTCGATTTTCATATTTTTGTGAAGTCACTAAGGCATTTTATTATGTCATAAAATCGGTACTTTTTTGACGGTATCATAAATCAACGCTCCATATCGTAACACATCGTCCCCCCTCCCTCCCGTCTGTGCTTCTGGTATTAATTTATCGGCCGCTTGATCACATGTGAGATTAGTGAGAAAGGCGTAGGCCACGTCGAAGTGTTCCTTACACGCCGATGTTTCGTACCCACGCATATTCCCGCGTTTTAGATTAGTGTCTTCGAATAACGCTAGTATATACGGGGTGTTTGATTCGTAGGTATACAGCTGGTATTTTTCTCGGTAAGAAGAAGAGCAGATCTTTCGTATCAAGCTGACTATATCAAGCACCCTTCCGTACTTGTTATCGCCAGTAGCCATGTTGAATTACAAGATGAGTCTATGGTGTAGGAATCGCTTTTTGCTCGGCTCAAGGCCTCGGCGAGAGATGTGAATGAATCTAGAACCTGTTTCTCCCCGCATCTTCATCTCACACTTGCCCGACTTCTTTGCATTCAAGTTGAACGATAATTTTATTGAAAATAACATTCAACGTTCTTTTATTGCATCCGCATTGGTATATTTTTAATGCATGATACTCCTCGTTGTTTTGTAAAAATTTTTGAAAGCAAAATTCTTTTTTATTTTTTATTTCCATAAAATATGCGTGCTTATAAAGTTGTTAAAAAAGATTTCATCGACACAGGCTATAAGTTAACGAAGATTAAGGAAAAATAGAGAGAGAGAAAGAGAAAAAGAGTAAATATTATTATCGTTGGTATGCGGATAAGAGAGAGAGACCCTTTACACACACACACACACAAACAAAAATATTAGCCATTATTGTTAAAAGGAAAAAACACAGGGGCGAATGAAGAGAAGGAGGGATAAAAGGATTGTGTTCCTGTGCAGGTAGCGCCACGCGTAATCGGTACACGACTGTGTGATGCCGGCAGTTTCGAGCGAGTCTTGCCGGTGAACAGGTCGAAAGCGAGCGGGGCTTCTTCCCTCTCGTCGATCGGTGGCAGGTATCGGTATCGTCCTTCCTCGCGTCGGGTTCGCTCCGAAACGGACGGCCGTGTACTCGCGTCGTCGACCGTTTTGTTTATCAGTGCGTTTCCGCATTCACGGACACGTGGTAAAATCCGAGAATTAGATCACCGATGACGTATCGCTTCAACCGCAAGAATATGTTCGCGCCGTCGACGAGCAATAACGTTCTTTGATCGAAGGTAAGTCTTCGGTCACGGTGTATATGCCTACTATTTTATCCTCCATTCGTTTGCCATTAATAATCGCACACGCTGTTTCCTCGATATCGCGTCTCGCGATAAATTTAAATAGATAATTGATGATATGAAAAGGCTATTTTATTTTTTTACTTAGAGGATAATTAGAAAAGTTAATTACTTATTGATAAAAATATATAATATTAAATACTTTATGTGCTCATCGTTTCTCACCTTTATGTTCAGTCATACTTAATTGTTACTGGATATCAACACATATTTCTGACAGAGGACATTGATGTAAACAAACGTCGTGTACACACACAGCTAGTGTGAAATTTAATTCCAATGCATTATCTCGGACACAATTATATGTATAAATAATATATTTTCAATATTACTAGAAACTATCGACTTTTGATCAGATTTCTGCTATTAATAAATAGTGGTAAAAATTGCCTTTCTTTCTTGAAATATAACAACAGAAATCATTAAATTTTGTCCTAAATTATTAAATTTTTTCTCTTAAGTAGACGGCATTTTTATAAGGGGATTTTTGTGGAACAATTCTATTCTAGTGATTCTGCATATATCTAAAAAAAATTGCGTGCAAAAAATCTAAACGATATAAAAAAATTTCATCATATCAATTTTTATTTCTTATAACGGAATATATTCTGAAAGTCATTATGATTATCTTAAATTTTAATCCTTGTACATTTTATTGAGCCTAATTACTTCGAATATATTTTCGAAAAATAAAAACAAATTAAATTCAATTGACTATCTCGACTAACAATAAATAATATGTTATTTATGATATTTTGTTGGTTTTTTAACGCAACGAAAGCAAATATTTCTGCATTCGATTTTGCAGAAAAGAAAATAAATGTTGAATATCTTTAAAACATCTCGGTATAAGAAAGAAATATATATACTAGATTGCTACGATTAAACACACAAGCCATAAATCTAAAGGCATTATATATGTTTACGCGTATCCTTTATAGATAAGACCATATAATCGTATTAATATCGAAATATCAAGGCTGATATTTCTAAGGTCATTAACAGTGTGAATCATATTTTTTCCACGACATATAAGTTAATACACTTGAAAAGCATTAACTCTTTTACCGTGGCAATTATTCGTAATTAAGAAGCGGCGATATTTTAAATATGTATCTATAGGAATACATGCGAAACGCATTTTATAGAATAAATTGCATTACATATTAATGTTATACCCATTACTCATTGCACGTAATGTTATTGCATATCGCGCTTTCGAACTACGTGTTCAAACGATAAATATTCACCAAATGGATACGAGTATCGCATCATGACTAAAATAACGTGTACGGATGTGATGACACATTTCAACTGCGGTAAAATTTAGAAATATTTCGCAAATAACTGCACGGTCCGCAGGGAGCTTTATTGTCGTAAGTCATGCGCAACCCATTTTGTACGATCATGTTGGTAGTTAATATTATAAACAACGTGATTAACTGGCAGATATACACTATGCACAATGTATGCACTATGTACCGCGAACTCACCTATTTCAAGATAACGGTATAAGATCATAAGCGATGCGCGAGATGCATTACTGTTATGCAGTACGCGCGCTTTATTCTGTGAAATTAAACACGCCCCTTTTAACACTCTGACAGACAGCCGAGAAATATGATATTAATAATTGTATGTATTTTTAAGAATCTTTACGTTTTAATTCTCGAGCGCGATCGATGAGTGCAGGGAGTATCTAGAAATTTCACGCGTAATATCATTTATTATAATAAAGATATTATTTTATAAAATTTTATTGTCAAAAAAAATATTTAATAGAGTCTCTAAATGAATTTTCTACTCCTCGTATTAAAACGCAAGGACCTGCAGGTGCACACATTTTTACCCTCTACACGGCACTCATTATTACGTGCACTTATATCGACCTCATCATTTTTACGGCTCACGAGGGGAAGTTGAACGAAGTGCGCACGAATTATCCCTCGCTTAGTTTAAATAGTTTAAGTAGGACTAAAAAAAGAAATATATAAAAATGCATTTTTAATATAAAGGTTCTTAAAATACGGTTGAATTATAAATTGGTCTGCTTCTATTAATAATTGTAAAATAAATGTAATTCGAGAGAATCTGAGCTCTTTATGTCAATTATCAATTAACTCGCAACTTTTTTTTACCAAACTCACGAAATCTTTAGAAAATGATCTGTCGGCATTACTCGTGTAGTGAATGGTGCGCCGTTCGAGGACACGCAGCCTCCGGGCCGATAGTTTTACTTTCTACGGGATGCCGTTCGGTCAAGAGTAAAAAAATATGGAAAAGATGTATGCCAGGAATTAAGGAGGAGAGCAAAGAGAGAGAAAGAGATCCATCGCGCGGGCGACCGAGATATATACCGTATTTCACGTCGATGCGTGACACCGATTTCCTTTAACCGATTCGTCGAAGGAATCGCGCTTATATTTTTTGAAGTCGTGTCATCGAGGCCCCGAATTTTGGGGCCAGATCTGATTGTATAGGAGAAACTATAACGCACGCGCGCAAATGGTCACGTTATTACTTGAAACTATATGTCTAATCGATGATGAGGGTGATGGGTAGCTGCTGTCCCTCGTTCGCAAGGACAATGGACATCTGCTCGCTGGCACGTATAGCGCTTCCCGAAAGGCACGGCAGGTTCCCATGGCTGGCGAAGAGTCAGGTGTGTCTAGCAGTGAGAGCGCGAGGGCTAACGCGAACCTTGCAAAGAGAATATATCAGTATCTTTCTCTTTTTTTATTTATTTATATTTGTATATATATATATATATATATATATATATAACTGCGTGTAAATATTAAATGAAAAATCGAATGTTAGATGACATTAGATAAAAGATATCGAAGTATCAGGAAAAAGTCTGACTTTATAAATATTATTCGAGCAATATAACTTTTAAGCTACGATCGGGCAAATTGTTTAATTTAAAAATTCTGGTTTTAAAAAATATTTATTTTTATAATATATATTGTTATTGAAGTTTATTTTGTTGTCGAAGCAAAAATCAAATTTTTAGCGAAGGATATCTGTATGGACATTAATTTTATTTGGTAGCCTCGAATTGAACGAAAAATAAAGAGGCTGTGTCGTAACAAGTTCCAAATTAGGACTTGGCTCTGGCTCCGCTATGTTAACAGTTTCAGTTCACAGTTTGTCACAATTCTTGTCACCGACAAGAGTTCTATATAAAACTTGGATATATATAAAATTATTTTACTCTTGTGCGAAAGTATTATAAAACGAAATTTTGGTTAAAAATAATTGTGCTTATTCTTTTGTGCAATTTAATGACGGAAAATCGGCCGAATATTTCTACAATTGAACACAGTTAAAGATATATTTATTTTGCTAATATGTATATGAAGTTTACTCGGCCCTGTCATTCTAATTGAAAAGCCAGATAGATCTTTGCTTTCTCCACTCGAATTTGCAATCGCTTAGATTACATCGAAGATATCAACCGTTACCTTCTTCTCTTCTAGATGTACTCTTGACCAATGCTTTCAATTTAAATCCCAGTTTATGCAGATGTATTTTCTCTTAGACGATAGCACGTATAATAATTCTTTCTTTCTCTTTAGCTGCAATTTGTCGTTATAAATTTTGTTAATTGTTGAATGCTGTTATTATCAATATTCCTTTATTTATTTTTTAAAATATATTATTAAAAATAATATTAAAATACAATTATTATTCGTCGAGTATAACGAGGAAATGTGAAAGATAACATTTGATAAAACAAAACGCTTGAGAGAGAAGAATCGCGGTATAACGCGATATGTAAAAATAAGGAATAGAGGGAAAGAAGGTATAGGCGGGTTCGTTGTCCGATTACCTACCTGCGCTGCTCCTCTCGCGGTCCATTTTGCTTCTTTTTATTCCAAAACGTGAAACAGACATACGGGCGTGCGACAGATGTACATACATACGCGATGGCGTCCGTTTCGTGGACGAGGGCTGACGTCATCCGACGACAAACCTTTCAAGGAAGTCCGAGGCTGTCTCGCGAAGTCTCCCTTCCACGTTTCTCTCCTTTCTTTGCTTTTCTTACTCTCATACGTACAGGGTGTTCCGTAGAATTTACCGTAGTCGATACCGTAGGATTTTTAAATTTGAAAAACGTTTTTTTTTTTTTTTTCAATATGTAATTTTCAACGATAGGAATATTATTTACAATGAATTAAATACACTAAAAAATAAAAAAAAAAAAAAAAAAACAAATTCTGCGATTGTTAAAAATATATTAATGACATAATTCGCTATTTATGCTTTTGCCTGCTTAATTGAATACATTCCCCGATTTTCCATGATTTATGTTAATATAAGTAAATAATTTTACTTGCAGCACACTTTAACTATGCGTCTTTTCAAACGTTATACAGCCGATACGAGCCCGCAGCTTGTTTCGGCTGTACCTATCTCCCAAGATATTGCCGCTACTGTCGAAAGTAATGCGCCTGAGACATCGGAGAAGAAATCAAAGACAGACGACAGATTGAAAGATAATCTTCCAATTAAAGAAAATATCGACACACAAAAGGAACCGGTGGATTCTTCTATTCTAACTCGTAAAGGTAGGAATATGATAAGTTATTTGTAATATTTACAATATTTTATAACACTGGGTATATGCACTTCAACATCCGTATCAATATATTATTGTTTTATTATTTTGCAACATTCGTACCAATGTATATCACTTTATTTTATATCAGGTGATTGCATAAGTTCGTGCCCGATTTAAATATAAACTTCAATAGATTATATTTTAGAGATAACACTTTTATTAATCAATTATATAGTCTCCATTCTTTTCTACAATGGTTTTCCAACGATCTACAAGCTTGTCGATTCCATTTTTGAAGAAAAAACTTGGTTTTTCTTGAAAAAAGTTTGTAAGGTGGTTTTCAACTTAAAATCAAATCTTGCATCCTTGCTCGTACTTTGAAAGGAATTTCAACTTGGGGACGAAAGATGGGTCGGAGATGGGATCAAATGAAAAGGTCGGACAGTTCCGAATTGCTTTCGGTATCGCGACGGCGACGACGATGGAGCCCGCATCGGAAAAGCAGCTACGATGAAACGTCGAACGAGAAAGAAAACGTAAAATATAATAACATCTTAACACGCTTTATATGCCTAGCATTACTTCAGCTAATAATAAGATATTGACCGAATAAGTCTCTCATGGCGCGGAAGGTGCTATTCTGAATAATCGACACTTTCAGGGTAATAGCGAGTTCCTGAGGCCAAAGAGAATTCCCAGGGTAGAATCGTTGAGAAACTTCTTTAGGACTGGCGGCGATCATTCTTTCAACTCCAAGAATGATGCGAAAAACGCGACGATACAGGAGGAGGACATCGTCGAAATCAGACACTGCCCGATGGAGAAGACTTTGAGCGAAGGAGCAATCAAGAAAATTCCGTTTCGAGGTATATGCTCCGAGAATATCGACGCTCGCGAATTCGCTGAAATCGATCGAGAAGCATTCCTTCGTCAAAAGAAGTTACAGCTTAGTCGTAGCATTCAGGATCTTCAAGAGCAGCGACGAGTCTTGGATTACATACTCAAGAATCACGAGATCTTGAAGACGCAACGGGGCGATGCGTTCGCGAGAGAAACACTGGAGAACGTTGCTACGAATTCGAAGGAAATCTCCAATTCCGATTGCGCGTCTACGGAAGAAACGAAGAGCGTATCGA